TTGCCTCTCCCTAGGCCTGCGTTACTGCCATAATTACTATCCATGATTTTTAATCACAACTTAGAAAGCTCTTTCACTTAGTCACATTTCTTCGTGTGCTGACATACTTCCCTGTCACTGTGTAGTTCCAGCCTTGTTGAGAGATCTGCTCTGTTTTGACAACATGCAACTGCCATAAAGTAACATTACATACTGGCTTGTATCTTACCATTCCTCTGTGCAACATGTGAAGCCTTCCTCCAGTGTAAGTGATTCTTCTGCCAGAAAAGGCCCCACCTACACTGGAGAAAGGATCCTTAAGCTAATTACCATTCATATATTCTCTTAGATTCTATTGTAAGGAATTTCATAATGCAGATATTGAGTTACAGAAGAAGACAGTTGGTGGCATTCAGATGGAATCACCTTTTACCCCTTTTACCTTTTAAAAGCCTCACTCCCCAGTCTTGGTTTCGCTACATATTTGGTTCAGAGCATGCCAAGTTCATGTCATTAAAATCGTTTGACAACTCCCAAATTCATATTCTGGCATCTGTCACATAATACACAGAAAGTTTACAATATAATGTTAAAACAAGCTGTTTATGTCCTCTGTCATTCTCAGGAATGTAACAATTTGTAAGGTTTAAGTTGCCATGCAGTTGATTTTGTGACCCAGAAAAGAGTAGTAGTTTATCTTCACAGCCCATTAGTTTTTGTCCAAGGCATTTAAATGGTAATTCTACTCCAAAGTGTAAGCTTGATGTTGGTGTCTTCTTTGTAATTATCATGAGATAAGAAAGGGATTCGAGTGGGGGGGAGAGGCCTGTTTAGTGTGTTGCATCAAAAACTAAAAGAATCTTCAGTCACATAAGAGACGTTTATAGCACACGCTGTTGTGCTTCTTGAACTTGAACACAGCAATATCACCACTGGAAATCTCGTTGTCAAGACAATTTTAAAACAGACCTGTCTGTGGGGGTTGGGCAAAAAAAAAATATGGTGGTATCTGACTCAAATCAAAATGAGATTTTGCATAACAGTGACGTGCAAGAAGAATGTTTCAGGGGGTAGTCGTGTTGGTCTGCAGTCGAACAGCTAAATTAGAATCCAGTAGCACCTTAGAGTCCAACAGTAATTTGGGGGTATGAGCTTTTGAGAGTCAACGTTTACTTCATCAGATTCCAAGAATAATTGCTTGATGAGGGCCTTGTTGGTATCTGTGCCAGTTTCTCAACTGGTAACCTATCAATGGATCAGATACTGTTTTTAACTGTGACAGCTACTGGGATTTAGGGTTTGCCATATACGTAGTAGTTAAGAAGGTTGAAATTGCGGGCAGTGTTTTTTTAATCTTTGTGCTTCATATAAGGGGTCTCCTCACAACTAATATTGGCTCTAGCTACATCATAAAGCATCGCTGAACTTCCAAGACCTTCAAATAGTAACTTAGCAAATCCACTCTGGGATTCTCGCCATTGTTATAAAAAGACACTTGGCACTTAGTACTTTGTCCTATTTAGAAGCCCAGAATTGATGAGGCAATAAAATGCAAATACACTTGCACAGCACGTAGTTTTGTAAACAGGCTAAATTGTCTGTTTTGGCTAAGGGGGGGAGATGTAATGAAGCAAAGAACTGAAAAACTGTGTACGTTAAAAGCAGTCACTTTAAAACTCTATTTTATTGTTCACTAATATGTTATAATAATATTGTTCACTATTCTAATAGGTGTTTTTTTTTTAAAGGAATTTCATTTCTGTTGAATTAATAAAGATTTACTAATAGGGTTATAGCTTGGCTTGTAGATAACATTTATGTCTATGCTATTAAGAGGAAACTCAAAATTAAAGTCCAGTCAGAGACTTAAATTCTACTGTACTTTGCATTTTTTTTGCCCTTCTGTTGATATGGAGAGAGGAGGAGGAACATTGCAAAAGTGGATGGCTCAGTATTTTCCTAAGCAGAAAAAAAAAATTCAGGTTGTATTTCTTTTTGTGATTGGCCGGGAGGATCTGTATATGTGGTGGAGAGGTAAAAGTAGTCTTGCTGGTGAGGACTCGTAGGATATTCATTGACCAGAGGCAGGGCTGGGGGGGGGCAGTGAAACTGACAGAGCTGTGGCGAAATAGAATGAATTAGTCAAATATTAATTGAAGTACTGTAGAAGGAGATGAATGATGACTCTTTGTCAAGATGACTCTTTGTCTTTCTGACAATGCGAGGATGATACTTGCTCATATGCAAAAGCTTGGGAAATAATTTATCCTGTGGATAAAGTAACCAGCCTGAGGGCAGCGAGGGCAGCACTGAGAACCTAGGAGAGACCCTGTCAAAATAAATAAGGCTGCAGTTGCAAAGTTGCATGGGGGACATGATCCTCCAGCACTGGTTCTTTGTGTTGTCATTTGTGCAGCTCCTAGTGCAAACCTGGAAGCTGCTGTTCTTAGCGTGTACTTTCTTTAAAGATTTGCCAGGTAATTTATGCTCTCATAGTTAAGGGGATCGTTCAAGTGCATAGGGCAGGTGGGGGAGAAAGCTGTGTAGTTGTGCAAGACATTCAGGTAATGCCTGAGGGTCAGTTTCTGGGTCATTCATTAAAAAACAGGGGTTCTGATCGAGTTGGTGGCAGATAATGAATTTGTAGCACAATTGTGTGCTGCTTTTAATACTGCCAGTTGATGCTGTTACCCTAAAACTCTTACTTCATTCATGATTACTACATTTGTTTGATGCACCCCACTGAGATGTTTTCTTCTGTCCTAGAGTGTTAAGGTGGTGCTGCGCTTGTGTAATTTGCAAATTGTTGTCAATTTATTGTTTCCTGATGTGTTTAATGTTAGACTAAACCTCTGACTCCCAGAGCCAGGAGGTGACATCAGGGGAAGGCCTCGGTCTCTATGCCCTGTCGTTGGCCCTCCAGAGGAACTGGTTGGCCACTGTGTGAGACAGGATGCTGCATTAGATGGACTGTTTATCTGATCCAGCAGAGCTTTTCTTATGTTGCCTGGGTGGGCCAACAAAATCACTTAAGCCAAAATATGAACTACTTCAGAGCACTGCTTTGAAGAAGAAGAAGTCTCCCTTTATTGTTTTATTTATTTGCTTATATCTGGCGCTGTCTCTATAGCCTCAATGCTGCAGCTTGTGGCAAGGAAACTAAAGCAGCATAACAGCCACTTAACAGAATCAAAACAGCACACAAATTAAAATGACACAAAAGACGTTCCATAAAGCTGTGAATGGCTTTTTATCATTAAGAGCGAAAATTCTACTTTTTTATGTTCTCTTTGTCTCTTCGTGAAATCTGAAAGGCTGAGCAAAACCCGGTGGTGGTGTCCCCTCAGGAGAGGGAATTTTTAATGCAAGGCAAGAAAGTTACAGTTCACAGACACTTAACCTCTCAGGCCTCGCAAGGAAACTATGTGGCCCTACCTGTTTTCTAATCCTGGCCCACATAAGGCATCATCATTTCATTTGGAGTGTGGTGTACCAGTTAGCGTTGGACTAGGAATCCAGGTTCACCTCCCATCTCTGCCAAGACACTTGTTGGGGTGCCCTCGGGCCAGCCACCCTCTTTCTCAGCCCAGCCTGCCCTCATATCCTCACTCCAGAAAGACCAGAGAGAGAGGCTTGCGTGGTTCTCCCCTCCTCCATTTATCCTGACAGCACCCCTTTGAGGAAGGTTAGGCTGAGACAGAGAGACTCTAAGGTCAGAAATATGGGTACATATTTGACAGGAATAAATACTAGGGTTCTTGTGCCAGCCAACTCCTCTTCGAGTGACAACAGTTTTTAAAAGGAGGTCAAATGTGTTTTCTACATTAAGAGAGCTGTAAAAACTTGAGTTTTCTGTCTGAACCTGGAATAGAATAGTACCTAGTTAAAATATAATACTCATCGCTTTCACGGCAGGGGAACTGCATACCTGTATAACCGTTTTTGACTATTTGCGTTGAGCTTTTGGTGTTGGTCTGCTGTCAGAGAATTCTGCCTTAACTGGTCTGATCAGGTTATGAAAGGAGAAGGGGCGGAGCAGGGCATTGCTCATAGAATAGTCACAATACCTAAACAGAATCCTGTACGGGACAAGGGAGAGCATGTCTGTGTTACTGATTTCAGTCATCGGAAATGCTAAACTGGCCAGAAATACCTAGATAATCCTAATGGGAGAACTTCACAGCGTAGCTCGTTTCTGTCACATTGCTGCTGTGTGCTGGATATCATTGCATAACAGTACCCATTTTATTATCACCCCTGCTCTGGCTTGAGCCCATGGTGGAAGAGCTTGCAACACAATGGGAGGAGCTGGGGGATGATTCCTGCCGGTTTACCCACAGGCTCCAGCCCCCTGTACTCCATCCTACAGTGCTCTCGAGCATCCCCCAATCCTCAGGAAGCAGCTTTTCATAGGGGGTGTGGATGTTGCAGGGAGAAGTAGACATCCATTCCGTCAATTCATTCAGTTTTACAGTTTGTAGTATCTAGCACAGTGCTTTTCAAAGGTTTTGGTTTGTAAATTCATCTGTCAAATCAAGTGTCCAGAAAAGGCTGGTTCACACTTGATTTAAATGTCCATTGTTTCACATACATTATTTTAGTAACGCTCACTGTAAAGCATTTTGGTATGATCCCCATAATGCAAAACAGGGTGCGATGGATTGTGGATGGGGGCTGAGACCAGCTTGCTAGAGACTGCCTAGTGAATTTTTGGTTGAACCAGGAACATCCAGACTCATCATCTTTACTCATTTGGACACTGCTCTGCGCCAGCACTTCCCTTCTAAGGCACATAAATCCAACTTGTTTCCATTGCATAAAGGAAACGGTAGCAGGGTGGGGGTGGGGTGGCAAGTTGCAAGCAGCAGCAAAGAGGAATGCATACCGATTCGTGAGGTCACCACTGAGACTACTAGCAGAGCAACACTTGCAGTGAAGCACGAGAAATTTCAGATTGCTTGGAAATTGTTTCCATGTTCTAAGTGGCCGCTAATGTGCTCTCTCCTTTTCTCACCTTCCAGAAAGACGACACAGCTCCTCCAGCAAGCCACCCTTGACTCCCACTTCCTCTCCAATATACTCCCTTTTCTCGTCTCTGTCTTCAAAAAGCAAAGGTAGCAATGGAGGGGGGAGCAGTCGCGCATCCAGTGGCGGAGGTACTGGTGCATCTTCATCATCCAGTTCCAAGTTGTTGAAATCACCCAAAGACAAGCTGCCAATCAGTGGAAATAATAGGTCAATGCATCTGGTACAACATAGCAAAGTTCCCCATGACAAAATGTGAGTATGCCTTGAGGGGTGGGGGAGACATAAAAAGTTTAGCACAGGCACAAATGTGACCTCTTTTAATGTGTGTGTGTGTGTGTGTATGAAAGGGGTATTTCATTTTTGTCTACAGATTCTTCCCAGCTACTTATCGAAGAACCAGTGCAGATGCTGTGGGAACCCCCCCCCCCCCCCCCCCCCTAGCCTGGATGTTTTCTTAGAGACAGCATTATGTGTTTTCATAATGAATCTAAACCAGAGTTTGAAACCAAAGTTGGGAGCTTGTTTGCAAGCCATGCGTATGGCAGGGAAGCAATACTCTCCAAATGGTAAATCTCCACTAGTGTGGGGCATTGGCCCTTTCCGCCGGAAGGTCACAGCCCACTTCTGGGGTGCAACCCAACCAAAAGATAATCAGCATTACCATAGTTCTGATACGTTTGGGGTTTTTTGTTTACTGTTTAGACAGGAGACGATAGATGGAAAGGGAGGAGAAATCGTGTAGGACAAAGATCCAGAAAAGGAGAATAGCTAACAGAGAATGAAATAAGCATATGTGATGGGATAACTGAGAGTGGGTCCCAGGTAGCAAATGTGGGTTTGGGGACTAAAAGGATCAGAAATCTTTGGATTGGAAGGCAAATGCAATCCATTCATTATTTTTATGTGGTGGAAATGTATGTAGAGATGTAGCAGTGGAGTTTAAATATCTGAGGAATTTGTGTAACAATGAACAGCTGAATCTGGTCTCCTGTGTGCATCAGAAATAAGAAACAAACAAGTCACAATGAAAGGGGATAAGCAAGTAGAAATTCCATGCTTTAGAATATCTGCATAAAGTGAAAAATACCAGAATGCTTTCATGTAACTGAGCCCTATGTTATGTATGTATGTAAAGTATCATCAACTCTCAGCCAACTTATGGTGGCCCCGTAGATTTTTCAAGGCAAGAGCCTAAGAGAGGTGGTTGGCCATTGCCTGCCTCTGAGTAGAGACCCTGGAATTCCTTGGTGGTCTCCCATCCAAATACTAACCAGGGCTGACCCTGCTTAGCTTCTGAGATCTAGGCCGGGGTGGCCAAATTTGCTTAACATAAGAGCCACATGGCGTGAACAGACATGTTTTTATTGAATATGCAAATTTGCTTTTTATTAACATTATGAGACTGCCAAAAATAAAAACAAAAGGGATAAAAATAGATACTTGATAATGATATTTATTTGTCCAATGATATTTGTAGGCTGGGGGGGGGGCTTTGAGAACGCATTTAAAGTTAGAGTTGCTTTCTTTCTCTGCTCCCCCCTTCCTCAAGCCTACCCAGGAAGGGGAACACTGGCTGGGGAAGGGAAGTCCGATCGAGGAGGCATTGCTCCCCTTCGCTTCCCCAGCTGCCCTGCCGGGAGCCACACAATATGTGTGCATGAGCTGCATGTGTCTCCCGAGCCACAGTTTGGCCACCCCTGATCTAGGCCATCCTGGTCATAGCAAGCCCTGTTAGGGATTTGTGATCCATAACTATATCATACCATATTTTGAGTAGAGAAGAATATGAATGGCAGTGGTGAGAACAGCAGGTAATTTGGGATTGAAATGTACATTCCGATAGAAAAGATATTACTTTGTATGACTGTTACCTGTGGTCTTGTCTTTCTGTTTTCCCCTTTGTAGCATGACTGTCAAAGTGGAAAAAATGCATCCAAAGATAGATGGTGCACTACTGAAAACTGCTGTTGGTCCAACCTGTTCTACTACTGTGAGCTCCTCAATAAAACCTGGCCTTAATTGTCCCTCAATACCAAAGCCACCCTTGCCTTCCCCTGGACAGATACTGAATGGTAAAGGTCTCCTCCCTGTGCCGCCGTATTCGGAAAAGAAGCATGACGACAGTACAAACAATAGGAAATTTTTACACAAACGATTGTCAGGTAACTTTTAGAAGCTGCTGCCCCCCCCCCCGTAATTATAGAGAATGCTGTGAATAATAAATAAATAAGTCCGCTTAAATGAGAGAATGTATGAGCATCTTGAACAGTGAAAATGCTTTGTGTCTGCTCGGTATCGATGGGGGTCCGAAGCACCAGGTATGTTGTTCCAACAGAGGAGTGAGGCTTCTTTGGTTCCCCTCTTCCAGCAGCAAACCAGTCTCTGAAGTGAAGGGCCCTCCGGAGTGGGCAAAAGTGGCTACTGCTGAATGGAAAAATAGGCCTTACTCTTAGACTTCGTATGTGCATGTTTCTCAGGATCCCAGGCCATATTGTTCAGTGTGCCTTTAATAATAATGTGGCATAAATTAAAATGAACAAACTTGAGTAGGTAAGTGCTAGTGTTAAGTCTCCAGTGCTTCCGTGAATTTTAAAATTATTTTTGAGACCTCTGTTACTTTTAAAAACCCTTTTCTGTGAGCCCCACAATGTGAAATTGTTTGACTGATGAAAGAAGCTGCCAGTGAGAGCCCTAGCGGTCACCAGACTCTCAAGGATTTTATTGGATTTTATGTATAGGCTTATGCCCCTGTAAGCCGCCCTGAGCCCGCTTGCGGGGAGGGCGGGGTAAAAATACCTAAATAAATAAATATAAAAAATAAATAAAGGTGTGCATATAACTGTTGGGATCTTTCTCTGCAGTTTTTGCCTCTGACGCTTTGACAGTGAACCAGGAGCCCTTTGGCTGCCGTCAGGTTAGAGGAAAATGCTTACTCTGCACAGGATGTCTTTGTCCACAGATAGTTCCTTTGAACTGTAGCTTTGGTGACCCCTCTGTGGACAAAAGCCATCAGATTTTGTCAAGCACTAGCAAGTGCAGTTAAAGTAGCAAGCACTTGCTCTTAAGCCTTCTCTTACTTTTCAGTATTTATGGAATCAAAGCAGATTTCTTTTCGCAAGAGTCTTTCATTTCCTTAGAGGCAATGTGACTAAATGGCTCAAATGAAACTTATTAAAGTAGAATGCAAGTTCCCTCCCATGGGATCCACGACAATGCAACAGTCCAGGTTTAAGTCTTAAACTGTTGTGTAATATCTACCACATGTCCATATCCCACAAGTGTTAATTATTTACTTGACGTATAGCCCTACTTTCTTGCTGAGACTCAAGGCAGATGACAAAATATCAAAAACTATTCTCTCGGATGGCGTAGAATATCCAATAAACAATGTAGTAGAACTGGGATTACATAGTTAGAAAACAAACTGCCTAAGGCATGACATACTGTATTGCAGAAAGTGGATTACAGATGTTGAAGACAATGTAGTAAAAGCAAGATGGCACATATAATAAACATGTTGCATGAGACTACAGTTATAGAAGCTTCTTCCTGGGCTATTCCATTATACTGCAGTTCTAATCGCTTTATAACAGTGCCGTCCCGGACATTGATGTTTTGCACATGTTCTGCAAAATGGCAAAAGTAGAGGGTCCTTCCTGACCTCCATAGGCAGGCTGCTTCACAAGGTGGGAGCCGCAACGTAGAATGTACAAGTACAGGCAGGGGCGGGTCTTTCCTGTTTGCAGAGTGGTACTCTCAAAAGGTCCATTTGCACCCTCAGAAGGTTTTGCTCAGATGAGTTCAGTCGGACAGGCAGTGTTTAATTTCGCATTAGGTTTGTGATCAAAGTTTTTGTAATAACGCTTTTTTGTTGTTGTTGTTTGATTTTAACAGAAAGAGAATTTGATCCTGATATCTACTGTGGTGTCGTTGACGTAGAAACCAAGAAACCCTGTACTAGGTCTTTGACGTGCAAGGTAGGATGCCTTCCTGCTTAATTCCCCCCCCCCCTAAATATCAGGGCAGAAGTCAAAGTGGATTCACTCATTCAATCTCTAAAAGCAGCTTAGGAAACTATGCAATAGAGGCTAATAAAAAGAATCAGAGGAGGACTAGAATTATTTCAGAGGGGTTTTTTTGTTAGACCATGTTCAGATATTATAGCCACTTCAGCTGGGTTGCTCAAGTCCAAATGCTGTGTTTTCTTTGAGACAACTGCATACTGTTGGGAACCATTACTTGTTCCCCAAACTGCTGCCTTCTGGGAAATACCTTTCAGGTGCCGTTCTGACTCTGCCACGGAAGTCCCTTTAGCTGCTTTCAGCCTGTTTGAATCAGCTCAAGGACCTTGTGTGGTGGTAGGGACTCAGTCAGTTCTGGTTGCCACAGACAGACTGGAATAAGTTGCACCCTGTCCACTTGCCTGCATTCCTCCAGCTTTAAATGCAGCACTTCACATTTTTATTTGAATGAATGTTTTCACCATTAGTCATCATGCATAAAATCCATCATAACCTAGAAGCATAAGTTAAAAAGCAGGCAGTCCTCCCCCCCCCTTTTTTTGGTATAGGAAATGAGCGGGTTATAATAACTTCATTGCAGTTCTGTAGAGACTTATTGGCTCCAGGGGACATCCCAAAGGTTTGGTGAAACAGGAGTTCTGTTTACCCAGGGCTGCTTTGATTCAAGGCATTCTAGTGAGAAAATTCAAATGATGGAGATTTTGATACTGGAACTGAAAATGATGAAACATTAAGCGACATAAAAATAAACTTGAAGTGATCTGAATGATGCCTGTTTTATTTGAAAGATGCGTGCTAGAAAGAGTGGATATTGCCATTCTGTATCCAGGCCAATACTCCTGTCCTCCTTATTTTTCGTATTCTGTCAGGTGATTTGCAGTTTTGAGTCTATGGCTGGAGTTGACCCTGAGTACTTTAGATGCAATTTAGGATTATTTATGCTGAGCAGCGTGATGACTTTGGTTGCAGTGCTCCTGGACTGTCAGCAGAGGGAGCACCAGACACTGCTAAATTAAGTTTAAAAAAAAAATCTTCAGCATCCAAGTGGATATTTGTGTTCATTTGTTTCTAATGACAACTATTCCAGTATTTCTATCCATCAAGCTCTATCTTTAGAAATTTCCCAAGAGTATTTGGAAATCTTAATTACGTAATCGGACATAAAATGATTTATCACAAAACTCCATAGTGAATTCAGCATCTATGCTGAACATTCTCGTAATGGCCCATGTAAGTGTGCCATGCAGCCATTTGTATGTGTCACTGAGTGCTAGTCCATGTACTCGCCTCACCTGAGAACTGATCCGTGGGGTAGAACCGAGATCCCCTCCCCTCACCCTTTCCTTTCCACATTCTGGTGCTTATCCAGTCCAACCCTGAGTTGGACATGGTTTCCTGCTTGGCCGGATCTGCCCTCCCTTACTTTCTGCTCTCCCAGTGCTCCTTCATTTAATCTTTATTTCAAACCTAGGGTAGCATTCAGGTGGTGTAAGCAGCCCTTTGAAGCCACATTTTGGCATCTCTTGTGTTACCACAAGACATCCAGGCCTTTCACTCACTTGGAAGTACAAGCTACATGGAAGGCTCTGCTCTTGATTGCTCTGTTAGCCTGTGTCTCCCTCTTACTGTGACTTCTTCCTGTTCCCTTGTTTTTTATATTAACCATACTACCTCCCTGTATGTCGCTAGCTCTTTCTTCCTAAAAGCAGAGGGCGTGCACCCCAGGCCTTCATAAACATCTCCATTATAGATTGCCAGATATGATGATTAATCATTTTAGTATTCTGGGCTTGTCGGTGTTGTATTATGTGTGTTTTAATTTTCAAATTTCCTGTTCACCCTGTAAGAGTGCTGTGTTTCTATTCTGACTTGCAGACACATTCCTTAACTCAACGGAGAGCTGTACAGGGTCGAAGAAAACGATTCGATCTGTTACTAGCTGAGCACAAAAGCAAAACCAGGGAAAAAGAACTCCTTCGCCATTTGGATCATCATCAGCAGACGCCCCCTCTCAGGGAACCATATCCCTCACCTTCAAGGACTTCCCAGGAGCTGCACCAAAATTCTCATGGAGCTAATCCTACAGAATCAAAGCCTTTAGTACCTAATAAACCCAAACCTCACACCCCCAGTCTTCCAAGGTAAGTAACAGTGCAATCCTGAGAACACTTCCTTGAGAGTAATGCCCCCTGAATAGACTTGAGTGGGATCCTGAGTAGACCTGCCTAGGATTGCTCTGTAAAGGCTGGCCCTCGTGTGCATGTGTCTGGCAGAATTTCTCAAGAGCAGACTTGAGAAGTTATAATGATTTTGAGTATCGTGCCTGAATAAACGCTCATATCCCTTCTCCGTTAACGTTAGTGCAGCTGCCTCAGTCCACACACCTGAGATGCTTTCCCTCCCCGCTTGGGATGGATTTGTGAGGAGGCATTGTGGCTCAGCGGTTTTGCCCGCTGAAGGTCCCAGGTTCAGTCCCTGGCATCTCAAGTGAAAAGTGAAAAGGATCATGTTGTGGGTGAATGTGAAATACTTCTGCCTGAGGTGCTGGAGAGCTGCCGTTCTGAGTCGGCAGTGCCGAATACTCACCAATCAAAGGTCTGGCGCAGCATAAGGCAGCTTCGTGTGTTCGCTGGCGTGTCACTGCAGCTTAACGTGGGAATCGCCACGGAGATTCTGGCCTTCAGCAGGCTGAGCGCTTCGAACTTCTGCCATCATGACCTCAAGTCATGGTGTTATATGATAGCTCTGCTTATTGAACTTATCACAGTGGCATGGAATGAAAAGGAATATCTCTTCGATGTTTTCAGTGTAAGGCTGTAGCCCAGGTCATTGTAAGCCTTGTCTGGCAGTTGGGAAGCCCAACGGTGTCAGTCCAGCACATGCTGAGGGCAATGTTCCCTCTAAGCTGTGGAGTCTTGTGAGCAGAAATTCTACTTTGTGAGTTGCTGGCATTAAAGTTATGAGCAAGCGATTTGGCCACTGCACAAATTAGTTTGCTCTGGGGGCATCCTCCTGAGCTAAGACAAAAATGTGTGAGCTAGAGGCTAAAAAACTGTGAGCTAGCTCACACTAACTCAGCTTAGAGGGAACACTGGTTGAGGGCTATATTTAAATTCTTGAAATTAGCTTACCTTGGTTTTTTAAAACAAACAATGTATTATGTAACCAGCTGGCTTTCGAGGAAGTTGCCAAACTTGTGCTGTGTGAACCAGCAGGTATGTTTTGTGGCAGCCGCAAAAAGTACTATGTGCTCATAAGAACATATCATCAGTGTACACAGTATTTTCCCACACGACTGTGGGGACAGTGGGATGAAAAGTAATGATGACAAAAAGGACTCTGAAACAACCCGTTACAATTAAGTGTTCTTCTTCTTGTCCCAACTTATCAACTTGCCCATAAGCCACATAAGGAAAAGAAGTGCCGGGCGACAGCTTTGTTAGTATACAAAGCCCCTGTGCATTTCACCACAAAAGCTCAGAGAGTTCACTTTGTTCATGCCCTTTCCACAGCAATTAAGAACTTAATTGCTTTTACGGGGAAACACATAAGGGATTTATATGATAATAAAGCTGTCACCTGGCACCTCTTTTCTTTTTTGGCTTGCTGGTACTTTGCTTTCTTTCACCTTACCAACTGCCAGAAATGTTAGAAAGGAGTAAGAGGGGATGGAGCTCTCTGTGTACTGTGCTCTACCTACAGATGTGGTGTGTAACTGGCTGAATGGGCAACTTCCCTTGAACCTGTTTGGCATTTCTTTTCTGTTTTTCCCAGAGCTAAGCTGAACTGGGAGATGGGGAGTGTCTTGTGAAGAGCTTTGCATGCCCCTCTGTCAGTCTTTTATGGAGCCACACTCCCTGTCGTCCCTGCTCCCTAAATGTTCTTTACCCCACAAAAAGAAGAGCAGCTGCTTTCCTTTCCCCAGCACTTTCTGTTCCGATACAGAGGCTGTTCACACAACTGCTAAGCCCATGTAGTTTTTTCCTTCAAAAATTGTCATTCTTCCTGTTCAAGGGAAAAAGGGCCCGTAAGATTGTCTGTGTGCTGACGTCACTGAAGGCAAACAAAGCTAATGAACTCCACATCGGCTTAATTTGCCCTGTGGCTTTAGCACACAAACAGATTTTGCTGGCCACCAGGCAGCTGAATTGTTTTCCTGAACAAGAAGGATAACTGTTTTTGAAGGAAATATATTGCCAACGCAGAAGCCAATCATGACTGTGAACAGGCTTCAAAGTATAAGTGTTGGTGGGAAATTTGGGAGATCCCCCCACCCCAATTCCCATCAGACACGGTTGATGTCTCACATTCAACCCAGCCCTACTTGTCTCTGACTCTGCTCTTGGCTTGCTTGGCCTGCCAGACTTTTCAGCCATTTCCAGTGAACATCATTTTGCGCATGCGCAACGCCTATTCATTTATTTTATGAAATCCATACTCCTGCCTTTCTGCCCTCAGAATGGCCACCAAGGTAGCTAACAAATTAGCCTGTTTGCTTGCAAGTCTTCTTTGAAACTGAGCTGAGCAGAATCTTTGGAATCCTGTTACGGAAGCAGACGCATTGTATGTAAAGATGTATCTTCTGTCACTTTGAAGTGAAGTGAAAGGTCATCTGGTAAGTGCAATTTATTTATTCAATGGTTTCCCTTTTCTGAAGGCCTCCAGGCTGTCCAGCACAGCACAGCGGAAATGCCCCCAGTGAATCTCCATCAGTCCATGAATCTCCACACGCCCCCTTGCCCGCAACTGAGCCAGCCTCTCGGTTATCCAGCGATGAGGGAGAATGTGATGAAAAAGAAGAGCCTGTTGAAAAACTGGATTGTCTTTATTCCGATCATCATCCTCAACCAGCTGCTGTATGTTCTAAGTTACACTTTGTTCTGATGTTTGTGAATTCACCACAGTTTTCTTACGTTATCTGGAGGGAGAAGTAACCATGCAGCTGTGATGAATGATGTAACGATTCCTTCTTTTAAGAGTGTGTGTGTCTCTTTAAATGTTTGGTTGCAGTGCAGTGAATGCAGAGTAGAGTGATTGAGTGAGACAAGTGTGCTGTGATTGGAGGATGAGAGAGTGTGGGAAGAGTTTTTGAAGTGGATCTGTGTGAGTGTCATTGGGTCAGTTATGAGAGACAGTTATGAAAAGTTAGTAGGAAAAGCCGTTGGAATTGTTCAGTTAGGGTATTCAGTCAGTGAGTGTTCAGAGCTCTGTGTGAGATCTGAAAGAGTGCCGTATATATCCTTAGCCTGTGTGGCTGACTATGGGAAAGAGGGATCCCTGTTAATGTTGGAACTGAGTGTCAAACAAACAAAAGTAAAGGGGAAAAAAGGCTGTGTGTGTGATACATGTGAATGACATATTTACAAGTCCCTTTATCCTAAACAGTTACAGAATAACCAACCTCATAATTTGTTCTTAGTTCAATAAATCATCTTTTGTTTAAGTTGTCCCAGAATTGAATTCAGTCATTCCTCAGGACCACATAGATCCCTGAAAAGCCTAGACCCTGTGTTACCCTACCAGTAAGAGGAAATCTTTAAATTCCTGGTGGCAGCCAAATCTACCCAGTTTACAGAAGTAAAGAGCACATTTAAAGGGAAAACTAGTCCTCCCAAAAGAGAGGTTGCCACAAATGGGTTGTGAAAAGAATTGCTGTTCAATAACAGGTACTCAGGTTGCTAAAGTAGACATTAAATTATTTTGAGGAAGATATTTGGGTGACTCTCCAGTATGAAGGCAGGAAAGGCTTTAAATAGCAGTGTAAGTCTCCAGGTAGCGAGTGGGTTTCATTTATATGGAGACAAGCAGTTTGTAAGTCTCTCGAATGGATATCTAGTATTTTCATTATCTCTGTGTCGTGCAGTGGTCACAGGAAGAGAATGCCAGTGTGTTCCCTTTGGAGTCACATTTATTTGATAAAATAAATACTCCATCTTGGAAAACTACTTAAATGAAATGTGTATTTTTCTCCAGTTTTGCACATTTGGTAGTCGACAAATTAGAAGAGGTTACTACGTGTTTGATAAGCGGTGGAACCATATCCGATGTGCACTTAATGTAATGGTGGATAAGCATCTTAACTCTCAGATGTGGAGGTGAGTACAAATTGAAGCAATTATAATCTGAAGTGTTTTTACTGGTATCAATATACACAAACACAGGGTTAGGTTAAAGGGAACACCGTCTATTAGTAATTTCTCAAAATGGGGTTCACATCTATGAATTGAACAGATGGCTCTAACTCTGGGAGAGATACCACATGGGAACCACCAAGCAAACTCTTCCAACAGTAGCTGTTGTCCTATTGATAACTTAATCACTCTGAGGTGGGGGAGACACAAGGGGGGGGGGAATCTTTGCAGAGAAGAAGACCTTTCCCAACCCACTTTGACTAGGATCTGGTTATCCAGACCTCTCTGTATGGTTGAGAGATCAGAGCATTTCATTCATGGGTGCAGTTTAGGACTTGTGGAGAAGAGGGTAGGTAGTTTGGACCAGTGTTTTTCCTCCAAGAATGGATGATACCTGGAAGCCCAACTATAGTGATCACTCCCCTGCATCTTACTATCCCTGCAACTTGTCGCTCGTCCTTTCCTTCCTTAGGTCTGGAATTGTGTCAGATTTCGCCATGGTAGTTCCTTGATACTCAGGAACAGGTTGAATGCTGGAAAGGAAACATTGAAACCACCAGTATTCCATTTCCATCCTCAGAATAGGACCCTTTGATGGGGGTGGAGATGCCAGGGCCTAACCAATGCTTGTTCTTCATCAGAAGATACAAGGGCAGAGGGGATGAACAGGTTTTGTGGTTTTCCTGCCACAAGAGAAGCATTTACGGGTTCTTCAAGTGGCTCTGTCCAGTCTTGAATGATGACATCCATTTGCATATGGCCGCATGCAGGAGCTTTGTTTTGTGATTCTGCTGTACCGTTTCTGTCTTTTTTTAAAAAAAAATAAGTTATCCAATTGTATATGGAAGCATAGGCAAAATTGAGAAAGCATGCTTCTTTTTTTGTTTTTCTGTTCCCACCCCCAGGAAAATTCCTCCAGCGACAAGCAACACTGCATCCGTACGTACTCCACACCGGACAAGCTCAACGCCTGTGTCACAGTACAGCGCCAGCACGACAGGTTTTCTCTTACCCCCCACAGCTGCATCTTCACCCGGGCTCGTGTCTCCTTCCTGTCTGTCTCTCAGTGGTAAATCGGTACCATCCCACGGGACTACACTAAACGCCAACCCTGCTAGTTTTGGTGCAGCAGAACCTGCCTGCAGTATGCAATCGAGACAAGTGTCCTCGTCCCCTTCAACACCTCCAGTGCTTTCCTCAGTACCATCACCTCTGTCCAGCAAACCTCAGAAACTGAAATCCAGCAAGTCTTTTAAGCCTAAGGAACCTTCTGCTAGCGGCGCCAACTGTAACAGTACCGGTAGCAACAGCAGTGGCGGCAGCTCAGGAAAGAAGCGTAAAAACAGTTCCGTGCCGCCAGCACCTTCTTCTCATTCCACAGAGTCCTTTAGGAAAAACTGTGTGGTGAACTCTGGAAACTCTGGGGCTTCTTATCACTCGTCTGTGACGTCCTCATCCCACAGTGTCGGCCTCAACTGTATGACTAGCAAAGCTAACTCGGTTAGCCTCAAACATGACCAATCAGGGAGGGGCCCTCCGACCGGGAGCCCTGCAGAATCGATAAAAAGAATGAGCGTGATGGTGAACAGTGGCGATTCCACTCTCTCACTGGGGCCATTCATTCACCAGTCCAGCGAACTGACTGTCAACTCGCACAGCGGGTTTTCGCATTCGCACCCTTCCCTAGACAAATTCATAGGAAAGAAAAGAAAGTGCTCGCCTGGTTCAAGCAGCATAAACAGCAGCAGCAAAGCAAACAAGGTTGCCAAATTGCCGCCGGTGAACAACATTCACACGAAACACACGGGTGCAATCCCAGGGACGCAGGGACTGATGAACAATTCTATCCTCCATCAGGTATGAAATCTTACTCGGGCCATATTCACAGGCAAATGAGTGACCGTCATTCATCCTCATTCCAAAAACAAAAAAATTGCATTTTTGTATATTAGTGATAACTTGTGGTTCTTTGAAGGGTAGATGGTGGATAACTTCATTGCATACTTTGTTTGGGTTTTTTATTTTAAAAAAAGTTTTAATGAACTTTTTTTTTACAAGAAATGTTGTTGGATTCCTCTTGAAATTCAGTGATTAAATAGGAGTCTGGCAGCACCATGAAGATAATTTATTCCTCCATTGGCTTTCATGAGTGGGAGTCCAAAAAAGAAAGAAAGAAAAGCTAGAGCTGGCAAAAATGCTGATAGTCTTTAAGGTGCTACTGGACTTCTGTTTAATTTGGATACAGCAACATAGCTACCCCTCTGGAACAGAAATTCCAAGTTCATTGTTCAAAAAAAAAAAAAAGTATTGTGAATACCAGGGAGAGCTTAGCCAAATATGTTCTGCCTGGCTGCCATTTCAACAAAAAGCCCTCCAGAAAAATAAAAAAACAATGATGATCAAACAGCAATGATTTCAGCACAGCTAAGTTTCCCAGAGCAAACTAGATGATTGGCTGTTATTGGCATCCCTGGTTTTGCCAGCACAGGTTTTGATATTCCCGAATGATATCGTTGATGACAGCTTTACTGCTTGCCCTGCTACATGTTGGCTTATTCTTTTTTTTCTCCCCCTGTTTTCAATTTGTGTGAAAGCCAAAGGCACGTCCCTAACAGTTTGACAGTACCACAGTAAGGAAAGAACTGGATTATTGTCACTACAAGCGGGGGGGAAAAATCTCCATCTGGAAATTCTGGACTCCACGAATGCCTTTTGAGTTCTCCCAGCTTCCCACAGTCCTCAGGTGTGGAAATCAACTGGACTGTCACTCAATCAAGGAGTTTTCCCTGAAGCCATGAAGCTTGGAAATGGACACTGGATTGCTGTTCAGCCACAGGATTGTTTCCTATCAGTGTTACCAGTGGTCTGGACTGCTTTGCTACATCATCTTGCCACTATTTGACCTTAGATCGGTTGGGCAAAATAATGTTTGGGAAAGAATATTTACTGTGGACTTGTTTGTTTGTTTCCCCTGATAGTGTCATATAAGGCTTTAATTAACTGCTGCTTTGACACTGTCCACTGAAAACCCTTGGGGGGGGGCACAATGTGTTAGGCACAATAAAATAAAAATAAAAATAAGCCCTCAAGAAGGGAATATGGCTTTAGTGTTTTATAGCAATGTTCCTTGATTGGAATTAAAAAATATATATAGCACAATTTAGAAACAAAACAAGTCTATGTTTTGCCCAGCCTTTTGCAAGTAATTTGGGATAAGAAGCTGTCAGGAGTACTTTTAAAAAACAAAAAACAGCAACAACAACAACTATGGCCATTTCTCAGAAGAAAGCGCATTTTAAACGGAGAAAAATTACATGGTACAAAAAAATGTGTGGGTAATCGTGTACCAAGCACAAGTGCTCCACATCCTTTGATTATTTCAGTAGCAGTTGTTCTGAGTTTCAGTACAAGCCCTGAAATATACGGATGTTTTGCACAGTTACAGTGTTTGGAGAAAGACTGTGTCTGCTTGGTTTTAAGGTAAAAGTGCTAATGGCGCTAGGTTAATACAAAAGTAGTAGTAGTAGTGACCCCAGATGCAAAACTCTCAAATCCAAAATGGTGAATAACCTCTAAAACTATTCCCAAAGAAGTGAGTTCTTGACCTATACTGTATGCCATAAGCCTTTTGTTGTTTTGGACAGGTGGGTGGGGAGAAGAGAAAATGCCAATTTAAGTTGGTTATACCTTCCAACCTTTTTTTTAAAAAAAATAGCCCTTTAAACAGAATCTCAAATATTTAGAACCCTGAATTTTCAGTGCTGTATTCTGAAAGACACTCTAGTAAGTTGATGCCTTGTTCACACAACCAAATTAGCACACACTCCCCCCCCAAGCCCACATTCATATTTTACTGATGACTGCATGAAAGTGCCAGTTTAAATTTTGATCTCAGTGTTAAATCCTCCCCTTGATGTATTGGTATCCAGTTTCACAAGGGCAGTTGCCTTGTGAACATAAGGGGAGTTTTAAACATGCCATTCAATCCTACATGGTTGCTTTGTCCCACGAGAATTTTCGTTTTTAAATAAAATCTCCCACTCGGGCTTTACATATTATTATCGGTTCTGGTTGTTTGTAAGAGTAGTGGGAACACTACGTGGAAAGTATAAACCCCAAATAGTAGGACGTATTCCAAAGGCAGGTCCATGAAAATGACCAAGTCCCTCCCTATCCATTTTCATGAGGCACGTGGAGGACCAGATTTAGACATGATTACAACTGATCTCTGCAGTCATCGAGTGAGGTTTAGATGTTCGGGAGGCCCATCTCGCTGTGGATTCTGCTGCACCCTGCATGGCCCAGCAAGCTTAGATTTTTCAGTGGCGGCTGCAGAATGCATTGTACCGAGAGACTCCGTCAGACCACCTAGCTCCATTTCATTCCCACCATTTGAAAACTATGTGGCCAAAAAAAGTCCATTTACCAAGGAAGGGAAAACCTGGTTGTCTGAGTCTGAGTGCGGGAGAAGCTCTCAGCGGAACGTGCCTGTAGACGCCTGCCTTAAAAGGGGGCATCAGATCTTGCTGAGAGGTGACAATCTGAGCCTAACAAATCCAT